ATATATATATATATATATATATATATATATATATATATAGGGGTGTGAACAATTAATAGTATATATTTAATGAATCAAAGAAATTATTTTGTAAATTATTTATCATGTTTATCATGTTTCATCTTTGATTTCGAACATTAATGTGTAACTTATAAGGATTAATAAATTTAATTTTTTGTGTATAAGCTAAGAAACTCCATACATTTAATTATCTACTATATGAGTGAAGAACTCATGTTAAAACAGTAATCTATTCAAATAAAACTTTATTAAATTAAGTACGCAAAATAGTAATCTTCGCATAGAATGAAAAACAATACTATAACTTAAGACACATTACTAATAATACATTCAAACACAAATAATTTTGCACACCGGGGCTTTGGCAGATGAATACAAAAAAAATTGTAGCTTAAACATACATGTCCTTAGCTAATCTTTCTTTTGCATGAGCAACAAATGGTAAGGTACAGTAATTATTAGTCTGAGATGACTTAATTAAGTCATTGCATGGTGAATTTGGTGGTAAAGTCCAAGTAAACCCTTGAAGAAGCCTAGCAAGTAACATTGTAGTAATTGTTGAACCAAGTTTCACACCTGGACAACCTCGTCTTCCCAAACTAAATGACAACAAACGTAACTTTGAATCAGTGAGAACTACTTCACTACCATCTTTCATTTTGAGGTGACGCTCTGGATTGAACTTCAATGGATCCTTCCAAACTCTGGGATTCCGACCAAGTCCAAGACGACTTAATATCACTACACTCCCTTTTGCGATGAAGTACTTTTCAGAGATAATTGTATCAGAGACTGACACATGAGGAACATTAAAAGCCACAATGGGGTGGAGTCGAAAGGTCTCTTTAATGCAAGCTTTGACATAATTTAGCCTTGGCAAGTCTGATTCTTGAACTAATCTATTGATCCCAACAATAATGTTAAGCTCTTCTATTGCTTTTTGCATTAACTTTGGTTGATTCAACAATTCTGCAAGTGTCCATTCAACTGCATTTGATGGATTATCCACTATTGCCAGAAAAAGTTCCTGAACATTATTCGTTTATAAGCAGTCATGTCAATACTTTCTGAACATATGAGGATTAATTCACGTTTTCTTTTTGAGTTGATACATAGAATACGTAGAAGGAATAAGATTGTAGTATGAGCCTAAATCGTAACTCATCGCTTGTTTGACCAAGCTTTTAAAAATAAAAAATATTTATTTCAAAAATTGAAGTGTCTGGTTAAACATTTAAGTAAATAAATACTTTTAAATAGCAGTAGAAGTTTTGAGAATTTTTTTCCCCAAAACACTTTTTGGAACCTGTCAAGTACAAATTATTGTGCTAACTAATATTAACAAAATGTTTTTCAAATTGTTTAACCAAACTGAAACGGCTATACTTCCCAAGTATTTTGATAGAAAAACATTTTTCAAAAGGAGATTTTAGAAGCTTGGCGAAATATGTTAAAAAGTGTTTGATCATCTCATCTAAAAGTTTAAACTGTTAGAAAGAGTACACTTTCATTATTTAATTATATTTTCAACACGTTCCCTCATGTGTGGACCTGATTTTTTTCATGGACAAGCTCGTGGAAATTCTTTTTGATTTGGGTGCGGTGAGATTTGATCTCAAGACCTTTGCATGCTCTGACACCATATTGAAGTGTGTGATCATTTCATCTAAAATCTTAAGTTGTTTGACAAAGCACACTTTTATTATTTAATTATATATATTTTCAACAAAATAGTCTACCAATTATATAAGCGAAAGGTGATCAGACAACACTAGGCAACTTAATTCACATGGTTTAAGTATAATTGAATGTATACTTACAAGCACTTGTGCCTTAATCTCTTTCACATTCATCAATGGATTTCCATTGATATCTTTGAGCATGATAAGAACATCAAGGATGTCTTCTTTCAAAGTTTTGTTGCCATCTTTCCATATTTGAATCCTGTGATCAACTTCAATATCAATTTGTTTAGTTGCTATGTCGTAGGCTTTCATGATAATTGCCTTGTCACCACCCAAATCAAACACACTTAAGCATGGTAAGTAATCTGATACACCAAAAGAATAAACATATTCAATAAGTGTAAAAACTGCATCAATTTGCTCCTCTTCTTTTTCTATAATTCCAAATAATGATCTCTTGCTGAAAATCATATTCTTAACTACATTTCCACAATAATATCTTGTGAGTTTCCTCACGTTAAGAACAGGTTGGTTGTAAATGAATCGATTAAGGTGATCAGCTTCTTCGTCCCTCTTATGACGAAGCCATTGAAGTGATGTTGGTGATAACACATGAGAAGCAAGAATTCTTCTCATTTTCATCCATTGATCACCACTAGGGAGAAAAATAGAGGTTAAGAAGCCATTGTTAACGAGGCTTGCGGACATGCAAAGAGGCCTTGATGAGAAAACAGAATCCTGAGTTTTTAAGAACTCGCATGCAAGCTCAGGAGAAGTTACAGGAATGACATTAAAATTACCAAAACGAATGCAAGCGATTTCGGTGTCCATTTCCTTCATTATTTTATGTATCCAATGAATTAATTCTGGCTTACTTTTTAGGAGAAGTTGAGGAAGGTTTCCAATTATAGGCCATGATTTTGGGCTTGGAGGGAATGGAATTTTATTATTTCTTACACTACTATTCCATTTTTTGAGAATAAGACAAATAAAGATGATACAAATGAAGATTGTCCATAGTGTATTAGTGTTATTAGATTTTAGGAAAATGGATAGAATGTTAATGGAAATTATCTTCATTTTTGCTTGTGATTGCTAAATACCATGTTTTCCACTATATATAGGCGGTGCATTAACATGCAAATTGCTAGGCATTACTCCTTCCTTCTGTTTTAATTTTATATAATATAGTTTGACTTAACATAAAATTTATAAAAATATAATAAAATCTTACAATATTCTAAAATTATCTTTAGAAAAGAGTACTACTTTTTGCAAACTAAGTGAAACTCTTTTTTTTTGTTTCCTCTTGGTGTCCTCTACACCCACACGTTGGAGCCCAATTAAATTAAGAATCGCATCGAAAAGTTCCACATTGATAGATAAATTATTCTCCAACAAAGGCGATTGTACCCATGGGCGCTCGAACCCGACCTCTCTTAATTAAGGACGAAAGTGTACTTACTACTCTATCATAATCCTTGTTGGTAACTAAGTGAAACTCAACATAGGTAAGATAGTATCATCAAATTTTGTCAATTGAGAAAGTATGTCATTTTTTTTAAAGTCGGCTATCAAAAATGTCACATAAATTAAGACAAAAAAATACTCTCTATTATTTTAGTTTTAATGTAAGAACTGATACTAAGGTTCTATTACTCCATGAACTTATTTTATAAATGATTTTATATTTTTTTTCGGCCTACGTGAAACTATCTTCTGGATCCAATGCGTGTTGAATTTTTTTTCAAACTAGTACCACGTAAATCGAAAAAGGATAGAAAATTATTTATAAAATAACTTCAGGAGATAACAAAATCTTAGTATAATAAAAATGTGTCTCTAAAATTTCGAAAATAGATTGAGGGGTCCGTATGTATTTTCCATTATTTGTTACTGCATAGAAGACCCATAATTAATACGATCAAAGACAATTTAGTCAATTAGTAATATCCAACTTAAAAGCTATTGTACATCTTATTACTTGTATATGGAGTACTGAATTTCCCAAAAATCAATCAAAAATCAGAAAATTCTTATGGCCACGTGGTTATCTATGGAAGAATAAAATAAGTAAAACTTACATGAATTTCAAAAGTGTTAAGAGAGCTAATTATATCATATCTTTGTTTTTTTTCAAATTATAAAAGTCACTTAAAATTAAGAATATTGGATATATCACTTAATATTTTAATACATTATTTTTGTTGATACAAAATATACTTGTTCTAGTACATCACATGAAAGTGATGTATCCAAAAGTACAAAAGAGAGTAATGAAAATAGAAACTTTTTGTAATTTTTAGAAAATAGAGGAACTTTTGTGAATAACCACTACAATAAATATAATTATGCTCCATAACTATAGTTTGCATATGTACGGGGTGTAGCTAAAATATAGGTTGTCTCGTTTGTATAATTTGAGGATTTGTACAATTCACAAATTTGTATAATTTACGAGGATATTTATATAAACTCAAAATAACTAACTTATATAATTATATTATACGAATTCTAAATTATACAAATTATATTATACAAAATTCAAATTATACAAACGTGTGAATCATACCATTCAACAAATTTATGCAATAAAATTTAAATTGCAGATCAATTCTTTTTCAATTTCAACCAATTCAAATCTTTTCTAAATAATTCCTAAATTTAGATATGAGTCTCCTCTCAATACTTTTCAATCTTTTGATATCCACTTTGAAATGATTCACATTTACAACATGTCAAATTTTAAAAATCTAGCTTTGAAGAAGCATAAGTGGGCTAATGCCTAATAGAATCTTTCAATCCCATCCAATTCAATATATAGATATAGGATTAAATCGTATAAAATCCCTTAAAATTATTTGCATATTTTACTTGAACATCTCAATTAAAATTTGTATTTATCAAATACTTTTATTATTTAAAATGAGTATCGATTAGACACTTTTTACTGAAATAACAAAAAAAAAATTAATACACATATAGTGATCACGTGGAGGGATATAATAGCTCCTTTTTTAATCCTTTTTTTTCATTATAGTACTCTACCAACACCACCACCATCCCGCCATTGCCGTTGCCTCCCCTCACCATCATCTACCCTTCTCTTCTCTCTTTTCTTCAGCCATTTCTCCCTCTCCCTTACCAATATCGATTTCATCTGGAGAACACCATTACATTGCCTCCTCCATTTTCTTAAAATTTGGCAGTCATTATTGTTGTGCGGAATTTGAGATAATACGAGAAAATATATAAACGCGAAAAACAAGACAACAGATTTACGTGGTTCACCAATAAATTGGCTACGTCCACGGAAAGAGAGGGAGCAGTTTTATTCTGTTTGTAACGGGTCCGATTCAAGGCATTCAACAAATCTCCACCTTGACTTGAATTCTCCGAACAGATTCTTCAGACGCACTATGATAGTGCCAGGCCTCCCCCTCTTCCTCAGAGTTGCCTCGCAGGGCAATTAATAGCTTCTGA